TATATATATATATATATATATATATATATATATATATATAGCCAAGAATACTTTATCCAGCAAGGCTGTCAGTAAAAATAGAAGGAGAGATAAAAAGCTTCCAGGACAAACAGAAACTAAAAGAATTTGTGAACACTAAACTAGCTGTGCAAGAAACATTAAAGGGGATCCTTTAAGCAAAGAGAGAGCCCAAAAGTAACAAAGACCAGAAAGGGAACAGAGACAATATATAGAACCAGTGATTTTACAGGTAATACAATGGCACTAAATTCATATCTTTCAATACTTATTCTGTATGAAAATGGACTAAATGCCCCAAGCAAAAGACACAGAGTATCAGACTGGATAAAAACAAGACCCATGGCTACATTGTCTGGAAGAGACTCATTTAATTTTATTTTACTTTTAAAAGATCTTATTTATTTATTTGACAGAGAGAGAACATAATCAGGGAGAGAGGTAGGGAGAGGAAGAAGCAGTCTCCTGCAGAGCAGGGAGCCTGATGTGGGCTCAATCCCAGGACCCTGAGATCATGAATTGAGCTGAATGCAGACACTTAACTGCCTGAGCCACCCAGGTGTCCCAAGAGACTCATGTTAGACTCAAAGACACCTCCATATTTAAAGTGAGGGGGTGGAAAACCATTTTTCATGCTAATGGACATCAAAAAGCAGCTAGGGTAGCAATCCTTATATCAGAAAAGATTTAAAACCCAAGACTGTAATAAGAGATGAGAAAGGACACTATATCATAATTAAAGGGTCTATCCAACAAGAAGATCTAACAATTATAAATATTTATGTCCCTAACATGGGAGCAGCTAATTATATAAACTGATTAATAACAAAATTAAAGAAACGCATCAGTAATAATACAATAATTGTAGGGGACTTTAACACCCACGTCACTGCAATGGACAGATCATCTAAGCAAGATCAACAAGAAAACAAGGGCTTTGACACACTGGACCAGATGGACTTCACAGATATATTCAGAGCATTCCATCCTAAAGCACAGAATACTCATTCTTCTCTAGTGCACATGGAACATTCTCCAGAATAAGTCACATATGGGTCACAAATCAAGTCTCAACCGGTACCAAAAGCTTGGGATCATTCCCTGAATATTTTCAAACCACATGCTTTGAAACTTGAACCCAGTCACAAGAGGAAATTTGGAAAGAATTCAAATACATGGAAGTTAAAGAGCATCATACTGATGAAGTTCTAGAACCTAGGTGAGGTTCGGTGGGCTGAGGTCCAGAGCTGATGACCAAGAAAGAATTCTTGAGACATCTTTGGTGTAAAATGGTGGTTTATTAAAGCACGGGGACAGGACCCGTGGGCAGGAAGAGCTGCTGCCCCGGGTTGTGAGAGATGGCAGGTTATGTACCTTGCGGTTGGGGGAAGGTGAGGGGAAGGGAGGTTTCAATGGAACTTTCATATGCTAAAGAGGGCCTACAAGGTTCCGGGATACTGGAGGCCTTGCGGCTTGATCAATGTTGTCTTTTGGCAAGCCATTCACATTTCTGCTATCAAGCATCTTTGTTAGTGAGATTTGGGTTTAGAAGAAATTTAACTTTATTTAGGGCTTGAGGAACTGAATTATTTGCCTCTGGAAATTGTGCTATTGATAAGGTAACTTCTTTGTTTGTAGATCTCTAGGACATTTGTGAACCAAGGGAGACTTCTGTCTTGCAGAATTGTGATTTCTGCAAGTTAACTATTTGTTTATCGTTTATGGCAGTCAGGGGTGCCTGAGGAATGCTACACATATGACCGAGGGGAAGTGGATGGAGAGGGGGTGCAAGGTGCCAGCTTTTGCTTTGTCTTCAGCCAGCCTCCTGCTCCCTCATCAATACTATAAAGAATGAAAGGTCAACCAGGAAATGAAAGAAAAATTTTAAAAAATTCATGGAAACAGGGGGGCCTGGGTGGCTCAGTGGGTTAAAGTCTCTGCCTTCTGCTCAGGTCATGATCCCAGAGTCCTGGGATCGAGCCCCGCATCGGGCTCTCTGCTCAGCAGAGAGCCTGCTTCCTCCTCTCTCTCTGTTTGCCTCTCTGCCTACTTGTGATCTCTGTCTGTCAAATAAATAAATAAAATCTTAAAAAAAAAAATTCATGGAAACAAATGAAAATGAAAACACAACAGTTCAAAACTTTTGGGATGCAGCAAAGGCAGTCCAAAGAGGGGAGTATATAGCAATATAAGCCTTTCTCAAGAAACAAGAAAGATCAGGGGCGCCTGGGTGGCTTAGTGGGTTAAGCCTCTTCCTTCAGCGCAGGTCATGAGCTTGGGGTCCTGGGATCAAGCCCCGCATCAGACTCTCTGCTTAGCGTGGAGCCTGCTTCCCACCCCCTCTCTGCCTGCCTTTCACCTACTTGTGATCGCTATCAAAAAACAAATAAAATCTTAAAAAAAAAAAAAAGAAACAAGAAAGATCTCAAATACACAACCTAACCTTATACCTCAAGGAGTCGCAAAAACGTTTTTTTACCTCTGAGAAACTGCTCACAAAGGAATTCCAGGCAGGGAAGCAGAGAGACATGCTCCTAGTTTTCCCCGATGATGCTTGCAAGAGCCTTAGCATTCAATGCTATTCCAGTTGTGGACACAAAGGCCCATGTAGCCTTCCCTGAGGCAGATGAAACTTCTTTGCCTTTAAATTGTGAGTAAAAAGATGACCCAGTGCTGCCTTGTTCAGGCATCCCTCACATCCCAAACTTTTTTTTTTTTTTTTTTTTTTTTTTTTTTTTGCCACAACCCATAGAAATAAGGAACTTTTACCTCCAGTGTAGTAGACACTTTCATAAGTATACAGGAGCCTGAAGCAAAAGCTTCATGAAATATGTTTACCATATACAATAATTTTTAATCTGTTGTTTCATTAAAAAGAAAAGCTGGTCATAATTTCTTAAATTGATTTCACAACCTGCAGTTTAAAAAACTGCAATCTTAGAGGATGTCTTTAGGTTGGAATAGCTCCCGGGCTGAAACGCGTTATACAGGCAGTTCTCAACTAAGGGTCAGAATCTTTCCACTTGATGCTCCTGTATTACTTGGTTATTTGAAATTTGAAACATCTCCCATGAGACAAGGTGGTTGGGAAGGGAAGAAACATTTACTGAGGATCTATTACATACATTATCTCATTTATTATTCCAACAAATGATCCTGACAGGAAGAAAATGTTCCACGACATAGATGGGAAGAGTGAGGCTCAGAGGCTAATAACTTATCTAATGGAGTAGAATTGCTACTTGACCCCAGGTCATTTGAATCCAAAAACTGTGCTCTTTGTAGTATTTTTATAGGTTTACAATAGCTCACTTCAAATCCCAACTCCTCCAAAAAACAAAACCAAATAATCCCCATTCAGTCCAAATTCAGCAGAATACCATAGACCCTAATTACTTTATGGGGATAATCTTTGTAGAGATTATCCTTAGTTATAATTTAACATTCTCCTCACTGGTAGCAAGTTCCTCATACCCCATTAGTGATCCAATTTTCTCCTAAAACAAGCCATAGCAATGGGAACAGAATTCTCAGTGACTTCTGAGGTAGCAGGGAGACGGGAGAGGGGGATGGCTTGAGGTGTTCCCAACACCAGTAGGGAAAATATGGGCACTTCTGGGATGGAGAGTAAAGGAGGTAGCGATGTCTGGCTCCTTTGCCGTGAGAGGTCTACCTCATTTCCATACATATTCTGCTTTCTGACACCCTTCTCCCTACTCAGGAATATCAAGAAATGAAATAACCTGAAAGAACAAGCTCTGCTTTTGCTCAGAGTTAAAATAACTCTTTGCATCGTGAAAGCTCAAGTAGGAACCACCATTCCTGGCACAAGTGTCTCAGGCAGAAAGTTTACACTTTGATACTTAAAGATGGCAGGTGGGTGGATGGGGAGGTGAATGGTTTTTGAGGAACCAGTCTGGATATTCCCATCATAAAAACTCTTCTAGGCTTGATAAAGTAGCTCCTGGAGTGAAAAGTGAAAAGCACCTGCACGAGTCACCCCGCTGGTACCAGCCTGCTGCGAACTGTCCGCCACAAGGCGAGAGGAATCCTAGCTGCAGCCCATCGGGGAATCGAGGTTCACATATTTATATCCGTGTGGCTAAAAACTTAGGAGCTGCTGGGTTTGCCAAGCTTTGGTCCCAGGAAGAATGAGAACTAGAAACACTCACTTTCTTTCTCTTACCTCCTCCCTTCCATTCCCTCCTGAAGGAGAAAGGGTTCCCTCTGCTCACCTCAACTTGTCTTACCTATTAAATTCTTTCTGGCGCCGCTCTTTCTGTGGCTAGGCACCCCAAGCTAAAGTAGGAGCAAACAGACATTTTCTTAGTATTTTATTTATATTTTTGGAGAAGATCTACAGTTTCATGAGAAATGCTGATTTTTCTCAAGCAATAGAAAAAAGTTAAAAAAAAAAAATCTGTTGTCTTAGAAGAACAACACAAGTCTCTTCAGCAAGCACTGGGCCAATTCAGACTGAAGGAACCAGTGAAGCAGGAGTGACATACGGGAAGTTCAGATTTATCCCCATTCCGGAATAATGCAAACATCTTCTTGTCTAGTTCTGTAAGGTTCCAAGCGGACCCTCTCAGGGAAACGGGAACCACATGGAAAAAGCCAGCCTCGGGGGGGCTTGTCTGGTTCTGTGCGCGGGGGCGGCTCACTCTCCAGGAGGCTGCATCTGTTTACAGAACTCGTCGAACTGCTGCTGCTCCAGTTCTGTCATGACTCTGTTGAGGGCATAGATCTGAAGCAGAGAAAAAGATCCGTTAGTGCGAGCGGCAGCTGTTCCACCTGTCCTCAGACGCCACAGGCTGTGACGTTTGGAAATACCAGTAATGCAGCAGTGATGCAGGCGAGGGAGAAGGGCAGATGCTAATTCCATCTGGAGAATCAGGAGAGATGCGGTGGCTTGATCTGGCTTTTAAAGGGTCAGGAGGATTTGAACAAATAAGAGACTGCGGAAGGGACATGGGAGGTGACAGCCGGGGGGGTAGTATGATGAGACAAATAAAATGGAAAAGTACAGGATTAGTTCTGGAAACTTCAATGATGCCTATATGAAGGATATTAAAGAGTTCGGGGAGCTGGAGACAGTGACAAGTGCGTTAGGAGCCTTAAATGCCATTCCATGACCTCTGGACTTTGGCCAGACTCCGGAGAGCCAGCAAGATTAGTGTGCTAGGGACAACCTGATGGGATCTCTGCTTGGGGAGAGATAACTGGAGACCATGTGAGGGATGAAGTGGAAGAAGAGATGGTAGGCCACCTACAGGCATCATTACAACAGTCCAGGGAGGAGGCGGCAAGAATATGACGCAGGGTAGGCAGAGGGGATGGAATGAAAACTGCAAGAGACATTCTCAGGTGAAAGGTAGGGTATCTACTTCATTCCTCACCTTTCTGTATCCTTGTGGTATCAATCTGCCGACTAACGAGCAGAAACATCAGAAAACTTTCCAATTTGTAGAAGGGAAAAATGAAGGAGTGTGTTTCTGTGTAGGTGATATAACTTGATTCGTTTAAGAAAAGACAAGAAAGGGGGGAAAAAGAACCCAAGAAGTGAGACAAATAGAAAACACAAAATAAAGAGCAGAAAAGGCAACTGAATGTGCGAGGATCACCAACCCTGCGAGATGGTTCTTTGAAAATACTAAAAAGAAAATCCTGCAAATCTCTGACATGATTCATCAAGACAAAAGGTTGACATAAACAAACATTATTATAATAAAAAAGGAAGAATAATTACTGATATAATGAGGATTAAATAAAAATATTATGAACTTTGTGTCAATAAGTTTGAAAACCGAAATGAAATGAATTGCTAGAAAGAGTAAAATGATCAAAACTGACTAAATAGAAAGTTTGAAAGATTCTATAATCCCCGCCCCCATTTTTTTTTTTTTTTCTTACTATGGTAAGATCCTATAATCTTTAAGGAAAAGGTGAATTCCACAGTGATGGAAACAGTTCTAAAAACAACACAAATGATTCTCAAAAAGCTAACATTGATGGTTAAAATGGTTAACTTTTCTGTTATGTACATTTTACCATAATGAAACACATAAACAAATAGATCTGAATAGTTTAAAAAAAGAAAAGAAGCTGAGTGAAGACAACCAGTCACAGAATATGGTAACATATATGAAATTCAGAAACATGCCTGACTAGACAGCATACTGTTAGGCTGCAAAATATTATTTGGGGGTACACAGAGAAATACTAAATTAGTGCAGAACAGCAAGGGTATAATCAGCATAAAATCAAGGAACAAGGACACTGCTGGTGGGAAGGGTTGGGGACAGGACCACAGTGGGGCCCAAGGAGCTTCCAAGTTACTGGTCACATTCTATTTCTTTAGTTGGGTGGTACACAGGGTGTTGGTTTTGTTCATCTTCCTTAAGCTGTAAACATCATATATATGTGAATATACTTCTAATATATAAGCATTAGAACCTCTGTGTCATCCATTCATACTTTACTGAGCATTTTAATCTGCATGTGACTGAACTGGGGACTGAGAGGGAAACTAAGTAGCTTCTTGGAGACCTCTAGATCCAGAAGGCAGGCTGGTGGAAGGGAAAACAGAATAAGCAGAGAAAAAAGAGACTTAAAATGGGTCAGCAGGTCTGAGCCAAGGAATGAAAGGACTTTCAGGAAGGAAAGGGTGTTCAACTGCGTCAAATGCAGGCCACATGCGCCCTCTGTTCCATTTACTCCTCAAGATGCTCCCACTTATCTAACTTTCTGGACTGCGGCATCTATGTAGAACTGAATGGAAACCATTTGTCTTCCTCCCCACAAGGGTCTTGTCACATTCCTATCTTAGGAGATCACATTCCAGGCAGCACAGATAAAGCCAACGGCAGCAGCCCAAGGTCAGATGTGTTTCGCTAGCAGTCTGCCCCTCCATCCCTGAGGGGCTAGGGGTTCTGTGCTTCCAAGTGAGGATAATATCTTCTACGTCACAAAGTCACCTATTTTATATTTATATCTCCCTGCCTTATGCCAGGCACGACTTACAAAGGTCGGGATGGGAGTAGCAACAATCAGCTTTGGTGTGAGGACACCTGTGGTCAAGCGCATGTAAGCGGGCCCCGTGCCAGGCAGTATTACATGGCAATATTCCAATATTGGATTCCAGTATTCCATTTCGGCACGTCACCATCAACACAATCAGTCCTTCCACCCAGAGTCTGCCCAATCAAAGCAGGCCAACTCCTGGGAAGCCCATGGTTCCTGCTGAGGACTGCTGCCATTTGCTGAGTGCTTTACGCACAGCATCTCTGTTCCTCCTAAGAGTCTTTGAGGTAGATATCATCACCCTTGTTTTGCAAGGGGGAACTGAGGCACTGAGGTGCAGAGAGGTGAAGCATCCTGTCCGAGGTCCCATGGGAAGAACTGGGGTTCATGACAAGCTGGAATTTGGAGTCAGACTAAGACATCTAACCTGTGGAACCTCATCAGAAGGATGCCATAAAGACACGGACAATGTCCTCCATATTTATCCCTACAGTGTGCGCAAGGGACGGTTTCTTCAGGCTGTTTCTTACAACAACGCTCCAACTGCTCCCCAAAGTGCAATGCAGTACAATTATTGGGGGGCCTGGATCCAGGTGGCGAGGGGAAGGTGAAGGAAAGGGGAGAATGATTTGTTAGGATCCATGTCCACAGTTCTCAGATGGTCTGTCTTAATCCAAAGGTGGATTTCAGTTTATGGATTAACTTTGAACACACTATTCAATTTCCTTATTATACTGACTGTCTGCCTTTTTCACTGAACGCAAGCTCCACGAAGGTGGGGATTCTTCTCTGCCTTGTCCACTCGTGTATCTCAGGCTGGGCAACAGTGCCGGGTGCACAGTGGCTCAGTTTTACAGGTGGATCAAATCAACATAAATTTAAAGTTGGCCACTATCAAGATGGAGAAGAAGTAAGGAATGAGAACCCTCTTACACCGCTGATGGGACCGCACACTTGTACAATCCGTTTGACAGCGATCTGGCAATGTCTAGTAAAACTGAAATACACACGGTAAATCTACTTCTAGTCATGTACGCTCCACAGAAATGCTAGCACAGTGCCAAAGGAGACATCTAAGTTTTTCACTACAGCAACGTTTGTAGTAGCGAAAAAACTGTAAATAATTTAAATGTTCATCACTGGAGGAAGGAGAAAATATACTAGATTCATAAAATGGATGACTGTATCTCTCTCTCTTTACCCCTCTATGTTCATTTGTTTTGTTTCTTTATTTTTTTTTTTAAGATTTTTTATTTATTTATTTGACAGACAGAGATTACAAGTAGGCAGAGATAGGCAGAGAGAGAGGAGGAAGCAGGCTCCCCGTCGAGCAGAGAGCCTGATGTGGGGCTCGATTCCAGGACCCTGGGACCATGACCCGAGCCGAAGGCAGAGGCTTTAACCCACTGAGCCACCCAGGCGCCCCTCTTTTTTTTTTTTCCCCCCTTAAAAATTTTATTTATTTGACAGAGAGACACAGCGAGAGAGGGAACACAAGCAGGGGGAGTGGGAGAGAGAGAAGCAGGCTTCCCATCAACTAGAGAGCCCGATGTGGGGGCTCGATCCCAGGACTCTGGGATCATGACCTGAGCTGAAGGCAGACGCTTACGGCCTGAGCCACCCAGGCGCATCTTACTTGTTTAGTTTCTTAAATCAAGAAACAGACTCTCAAATACAGAGAACAAACTGATGGTTACCAGAAGGTGGGAGAGATGGGTGTGATGGGTGATGAGCACTGGGTGCCATATGGGAAGTTCGGAGTCACTGTCTTGTACACCTGAAACTAATATTACACTGTATGTTAACTAACTGGAATTTAAATGAAAACCTAAACAATAAAAATAAATCTGGGGCACCTGGGAGCTCAGTAAGTTAAATGTCTGACTTCAGCTCGAGTCATGATCTTGGGGTCCTGGGATGGAAGCCTGCGTGGGGCTCCCTGCTCTCTCTCTCAAATAAATAAAATCTTTAAAAATAAATAAATAAAAATAAAACAGACTACTATACGCAGTGATGAGGAATAAACTAGATTATATTAACATGAACAGTTCTAAAAAACCTATGTAAGCAAAATGTAAAATAAAACAGAATTAATGTAAAATTTTAAAACACAAAAGAATATTATATGTTACTCAAGGATATCTAATAATATATGAGTGTAAAAGCATAAAAAATTATAGTAGATGTCCACAGAGAGGGAAAAAGGGTGTAAGACAGGAAATGGACAAAGAGGACTTTAAATTCATATGTAATTTTTATTTATCTAAAAGGCTCCAGGTGAATAGGACAAAATAGTAACCACTACCAATCTGACATGCTAAGTACCCCGGTGTTTGTTCTAATATTTTGTTTTTCTGTATTTTTAAATTTCTCAAAAGGGAAACAAATAAAATGCCTAGAAAGAGGGAAAAATTTGCAGCAAGCTTTCTTCTGATAATAAATACTAAAATAAAAATACATGTCTGGATGTGGTGCCACACGGGTAGCGTGAGCAGTTTAGTTTTTCATTCTGAAGTTGATCCCAAGTGTTGACTGCACAAAGAAACAGGTTTGGTGGGTGTAGAGCTTGGGCCTCTACTTCTGGTTATGAGCAGCTACTCTCCAGGCCAACGCCTGAACATCTGCGCTAGGGGGTGTCCAACACTTGGTTGTCTCACTCTGACCCCTCCCTTCCATGCCCCTTCTCTTTTTCCTTTCTTTCTTCCACAAAAGCTCTGCACCAGGAGTCATCTGGAGACCGTCAAGGTTCTGACACTAACCTGGCATGTGACTCTGGGCTGTCACTTCATCATCCTGAACCTCACTGATCTCCTGGGAGAAGAGCTGTTATACGGGAGGCAGGTAGCACGCCCCCCCCCACAGGTCTCCCCTCTTCTCATTCTCTATTCCAGCATCATCTCCAGCAGACTACAGGTGTACAGGCCTCCTCCTTAATCTCACCTCTGCTCTTTGTCTTTGCTTCAGCTCCTGCTGGGCTGATTTCTGCTTGGCCTTCTCAACTCTGCTGGCAGGTTCTTTAACTTTGGATTTTTCTTTCCGCGTAGGTTGATCCATGACTTAACTTCTGAACACTTGTTAGCTCTGACCTGGATGGTGCAGAAGAGACTGACTGATTAACAAAAGAAAGAAAGAAAGCACAGCAAAGAAAAAGAATTTCCAGTCCCTCCCTTCACTAATCCCAGAGTTCAGCCCCCTCCCTTGACAGGTGAGGCGGAGTGGCCCCGTGGAAAGGGCGCTGGATTCGATGGCCTAGGACTGAACCCACCGCCATGACCTTGCTGGGTGTCCCTGGGCAAATTGTTTTAATACCTATTTTTCTGAAATTTTAAAATTTTTTTCTGTATTTTTAATTTCTAAGGAAAGAAAAAGAAATGAATAAAACTAATAGACGGAAGGCAGTGCGGCAAACTTTCTCCTGATATTAAATACTAAGATACTTAAATACTAAACTAGAATCCTCTCTCTACTCTGAGCCTTAGTTTCGTGTCTGCAAAATGGGACAACAGCCCATTCGCGTGAGGACCAAGCGACAGGGCCTGGCTCTTCTAACCGTGAGGACACCGCGGCCGCGCGGGGCGAGCCAGTCCCAACCCCGGAGCCGGGCAGCGGGGAGGCTCCGGCCTCGCGCCGTCTCCGGCCTCAGGGCCAGGCCCTCCCACCTCCCCGCGGCCGGACAGTTACCGCCCCGCTCGGCCGCAGGGCCCCCGCCTGCGCCCGCCCGGGCCCGCCCTCCGCCACAGGCCGCCCTGGGCCCAAGTCCGGCCCCAGGGGACGTTCCCCCGCCCGCCGCTGCCCTCTCCGGGTGCAAGATGGCGGCGGGCGACGGTCGGGAGTCGGCGCCAGCCCGCCCCGTCTCGGTACTCCGGGATTCCGCCGCGTCGCCGGCAAGGCCCCACGTGGGACACCCCGGCCTTCCCCTACCTCCGGGTCTGGAGTCGCGAGCCCACCGCGCCCCGCATTGGGCGGGGCCGGGGCGGTGACCCGGGGGCGGGGCCGGGAGGCGGGGCGGCGGCGGGAAACAGGCGCTCTCTGAGGCCCCGCCCCCTGGGGCTGCGCGTGCGCAGAAAACACATCTGGGCGTCTCCTGTCTTTCCCGAGCGTGGGCTCTGGGACTGGGGAGGTTTAACAGTGCAGTTCTCCGGAACATTTTGTGGGGCAGCTGCTAGGCTTTGAAGGGTGAGATGGGAAGCCTGGGATGAGAATTGTGACATTCTGGGTCTCAGTTTCTTAATTCGAAAAGTAGGGATGGTGATTTGCGCCTTCTTGATCTACGAGCTTGTTAGGAGCACCAAGTGAAGTCCTGCCGGCCACGGGACTTTGAAGAAGGATGTCAGGACAAATGTAAATAACCAGTATAAGTATAGAGAAACGTACAAGCTCACAGATAATACATCATTTTACAGTTACAGTTGTTTTACAATTAGAATTTTACAATTATTTTGAAATAATTTTTCAAATTAAAATAGTTGGCTATCGTTTTTCATTGATTAGAACAGGATTGAAGAAAATGGTAGGTAAATGCTTTGACAACAGAAATCTTGTTCAGTCTAATAATAATGATATAATAATAATAACAGGGGCCTCTGGGTGGCTCAGGGGGTTAAGCCTCTGCCTTCCACTCAGGTCATGATCTCGGGGTCCTGGGATAGAGCCCCCTCCCCCTTTCTCTGCCTCCCTCTCTGCCTGCTTGTGATCTCTGTCTGTCAAATAAATAAATAAAATCTTTAAAAAATAATAACAATAGCTGCCTCTTTTCAGAGCCTATGACATCGCAAGCACAGTTCTTAGAGCTTCACATTTATTAACTCATTTATTCCTTTTGATAAATGTGTCCAGTAATATACATGTGTAATAACATGTTATTATCCCCATCTTACAGATAAGGGAAGAGAGGCACGGAGAAGTTAAATGACTTGTCCATGGTTACACAGCTAGTAAGTATCGGGGCAAGTACTTCTGATAGGTTTCAGGCTAGGACAATGGCCTATCCAGGAGAGGACATGTCCTCCAGATCCCCTACTTCTGTTCCTCTAAGAATCAGGCAAGAATTGAAACAATTGATGGATGCTAAGCAGGAGGTTGTTCAATGGATATAGAGTTTCTGTTTTGTAAGATGAAAAAGTCCTAAAGATCTTTTGCACAAGAATATGCATTTATTTAATACCACTGTACTTTACACTTAAATAAGGTGGGAAATTTTATATTACGGGTTTTTTTTAACCACAAAAATTGAAAAAGCGCAACCTTTATTCAGCAATTCCACTTCTAGATTATCCTAAGTATCAGAGATAGCACTATTCTTTTTTTTTTTTTTAAGATTTTATTTATTTATTTGACAGAGAAAGATCACAAGTAGGCAGAGAGAGAGAGTGGAAAGCAGATTTCCCGCCGAGCAGATAGCTGGATGTGGGGCTCCATCCCAGGACCCTGAAACCATGACCTGAGCCGAAGGCAGCGGCTTAACCCACTGAGCTACCCAGGTGCCCCAGAGATAGCACTCTTCTTCAGTGTAAAAAAAAACTGCAAACAACCAAAATAATTGTAACAGGGGTTGATTAAATAATCAGTAGGATAGATGACATGGGATTCTATGCAGCCATTAAAATGACATAGAAGAATATTTATTGACATAATAAAACATTTTTATTAAATGAAAAAGTTACAAAGCAAAACATACAACATAATCACAGCATTTGTCTCAAAAAAAGTATTCTATACATACAGGAAAGAGGCTGTATGAAAACATAGCAAAACATAAATCCAGATTATTTTGAGAGCAGAGGGTATTTTCTTTTCTTTTCTTTTCTTTTTTTTTTTTTTTTTGAGAGAGAGAGGCAGAGTGAGCAAGCAGGGGCAGGCGCAGAGGAAGAGGGAGAGAGACTCTTTTTTTTTTTTTTTTTTTTAAGATTTTTAAAATTTATTTGACAGACAGAGATCACAAGGAGGCAGAGAAAGAGGAGAAAGCAGGCTCCTTGCTGAGCAGAGAGCCCGATGCGGGGCTCAATCCCAGGACCCTGAGATCATGGCTTGAGTCAAAGGCAGAAGCTTAATCCACTGAGCCACCCAGGCGCCCTGAGAGACAGAATCATACCCAAGGTGGAGCCCAAAGAAGGGCTCCAACTCACAACCCTGAGATCATGACCTGAACCAAAATTGAGAGTCAAATGCCTTAACTGACTGAGCCATCCAGGCACCCTAAGAGCAGAGGGGATTTTTATCTTCTTTGTGCTTTTCTGTATTTTACAAAATTTCTACAAAGAATACTTACACTTTAGCAAGATTTATACTTTCTTTTAATTGAGGAACGTCTAACAAATATTATTTTAAGCTTCTATATTAATGTTGATTGGATTATTGTTAATAATAAAAATGGTCAGATTAGATTATACTATATTACGGCTGGAAACAGGGCAGGAACCTTGGAAGGCTTTAGAAAGCCAACTAAAACAGACTGGATATAGGGTATGAAGGAGTGGAAAAGCCAAAGGAGAATATTTGGAAAAATAGTGGAGACACTTTTAGGAATGAAGGTATGCTGTGTTGGCTTGGGAAAGGATTGAGGTAGAGGGTGCATGTATACCTAAGAGAGAGTTAGTTTACACTTAGAGGTGGCAAGAAGTTGTCTAACTCCAGAAAGGTACAGGTGTGGAGACACTGGTTTGGGATTCTTCATCAGGAAAGTGAGGTTGGATTCTGGAGGGAATGAAAGTCCCTTCCTTATTCTTCCTCTATGAGTTTATGATATCTATCTATCTATCTATCTATCAACCTCTGTATCTATCTTTCTGTCTTTTTGTGACCATCAACAGACTTGGCCAGTGTGCACAATTCCCTACTTAGCTGAGCCAGAGTTTCCATTAGTATGACTATGGAATATTTTTACACTTAAGCTGTATACCAGACTAAGATTCCTTTCACTTTATTGAACAACTTTTCCCTCCTAGAGTCCAAAATTCCTTTTTTTCCCATTCACTTAATTATGCATCTATTGTTAATTCTTCTGTTAATTCTGCCCCCAAAATTTCCATCTGGACTGTAAAACACCTCTTGATCTGGTCACATGAATCTGGTGATCTTTCAGGGTCGTTTTTTTGTTTTTTTTTTTTTTCTTGGAGACATCCTTCCTTGGGCCCATCCTCCTCTCTCCATCCTGGCCTCACTGTCCAACTGTTGTCCTAGGATTTCCCCTAACCACATCCTGGGGATTCCCATCTTACTCTCTGGTGCCAAATCTCCTGATCTTCCATTTGTGATTTATTCTCTCATTTTAGAAGAGCACATTCTCCAGTAACCTCCCCAGAAGGAGTTCATGGGAGGTAAATTTCTGAAACTTTGCTTGTCTAAAAATGGCTTTATTTTACTCTCACACTTGGCAGCTTGACAGGATACAGATTTCCAGATTGGAAATCGTACTCAGAATTTTAAAGGCATTGATCCATTGTTCTTTAGCTTCTCACCTGGCTAGACTCTGAAGAGGTCTGATTTAATCTGATTTCCATCACGTCCTCTATAATTTTTGTTTGTGAGTTTGTTTTCTGGAATTTTTTAGGATATATGTTTTTCCTTCATCTTTGGTGCTCCGAACCTTCATAATGATATGTCAAGGTAAGTTTTTTGTTCATTGTGCAAGGCACTCAGGAAATGTGTAGGCTTTGGGAAGATGTTCTCTATGATAGATTTCCTTGTTTTAAAAATCTTTTCTTTCTCATTTTCCATCTCTTAGTTTTGCTTATTCTACTTTTTAAGAGATTTTCCTGAACTTTATCCCCTAGCTCTTCTCTTGAATGTTTTAGTTTCTGCTATAAAGTTTTAATTTCCAAGAGTTTTTCCTGGTTCCCTAGGTAAACCTCTTGCTCTGTGTTGTGGATTCAGGATCTTCTCTTATTTCATATTTCTGAGGACATCAATTGTAATTTTCTGCTATTTTCTTTTACTTCCTAGATTATCTTTGTTGTTTATTTTGGTCTCTGGCTTTGGCTTTGAAGTTGGAGGCTTTCCTCAAGTAATGATAATAACTACCGTATATTGGGCGTCAAGCACTGTTCTGAACATTTTACATGTTTTAACTAATTTAATCCTTACTCCATCCCAAAGAGGTAGTTAACCATTCTTACTGGTAAGGAAACTGAGACACAGGAAGTTAGACTCTCACCCAGGTCACAGAGCTTAGAAATGAACCTGAATCTAATCAAACCTCTAGGTTTCCAATTCACAGGAAATATGAGGGTTAGAGAAATAAATTAAATAATACCACTTGAAAGCAATCAGCCAAATCCAGAATGTAGGACATTGTACAAGGCAAATTTCTAAGTTTTTTTTAAATCTTTTTTTAAGAATTTTATTCATTTATTTGACACAGAGAGAGACAACAAGGAGGCAGAGAGGCAGGCAGAGAGAAAGGGAGAAGCAGGCTCCCCTCCGAGCAGAGAGCCTGAGGCAGGGCTCGATCCCAGGACCCTGAGACCATGACCTGAGCCGAAGGCAGAGGCTTAACCCACTGAGCCACCCAGGCGCCCTGGCAAATTTCTAAGTTTTACCAACAATCAAGAGTATAAAGAAAAATTTTAAAAGAAGAGCAAAGGGGGCACCTGGGTGGCTTAATCGGTTAAGCCACTGCCTTCAGGTCAGGTCATGATCCCAGAGTCCTGGGATTGAGTCCCGCATCAGGCTCCCTGCTTAGTGGCCAACCTTCTTCTCCCTCTCCCTTTTTGATGCACTCTCTCTCTCTCTCTCTCAAATAAATAAATAAAATCTTAAAATTAAAAGAAGACAGAGGGATCATTATAGAATAAAGACCCTTTAGGAACTTAACCAGAAAACGTAATATATGTATCTTGCTTAGATCCAGATTTGAACAGACCACGTGTGAAAAGACATGTTTGACATCATTGAAAATGTGCGAACGTAGACTGCATATCAAATAATATCAAGGGATTATTGCCAATTTTGGTAGATGTAGTGATAGCATGATGTATGTAGTTGTGTGTATATCTGTGTACCTTAAAAATTATTGAGGACCTTAAAGAGCTTCAGCTTATATGGGTTATATTTTTTGCAATTTGCCTTAGTAGAAATTGAAGTAAGAAGTTTTCAATATAATTATTACTTCACTTAAAGACAATAATAGGGAGGTGGGGTTGGGGTAACTGGGTGATGGGCATTAAGGAGGCACGTGATGTAATGAGCACTGAGTGTTACATAAAACTGGTGAGTCACTTGACCTCTACCTCTGAAACTAATAATATATTCTATGTTAATTAATTGAATTTAAATTAAAAATTTTAAGAAGACAATACACACGTTAACATAAACACTTCTGTTAACATAGACATGTTAACATAAACATGACATAAACATAACATATACACATGTTAACATAAACAACATGTTATATGAGAAACAGCTATGTTCTGAAACAAAACAATTAGTGAGAGGAGTGGCAATGTTTTACATATCTCTACATCTCTTAAGCGTCTGGCTGGTTAGAAGTCCGCTGGATTCTCATATGGGCTCTTGCATTTGGTCTGTGGCAGTAGGCTGTGTGGTTGAAGTGGATGTAACTGGAAAAGAGGCATTTCAATCATCTCCTCAGATAATTGTGGATATTCTTTGATAATATAGCCAAACTTGGCAAGTGGTAGTCTCTGAAAGGTTACTGCAGCATAGGATCTAAAATCATACCAGTAAACTTTTCTTGTCTTTTTCCCCTGTAGGCTTGATTGAGATATAATTGACAGGTAGGTATACAACTTGTAAACTTGATACGCTTACACTGGGAAATGATTACCACCATAAAATTAGCTGATACTTCTCCATCCTGTCACAAACTTACCTTTGTTGTGGTGGGAACATTTAAGATGTACTTTCTTAGCAACTTTCAAATGTATAATACACCAGCGAACTTCTCATACTCTGCCACAGTTAAACCCACTGGTGTATCTTGCATATTGAATAGATCTTTTATCTTTGCATGATTTTGTCAAGACATGCATTAACCATTTGGAAGTTACTGGTTCACGGACTTATGCAGATGTTTCAAATGTTGACACATTTCATTACACAACATCAAAAAAATCACTAATCCTTAATGTCACTACCAAGCTCATGAGAACCATCTATTTTTATTGGGATCTCTCGAGCCCACAGGAGCAGATGAACTGTCAACACAACGAAAAAATAAATAACAGCTTAGTATTATTATGAACATAAGAATACCAGGGGACCTCAGGAAAGGGTCTCAGGAGCTCCTGGAGTTCATGGACCCCACAGACCTCACACATGGCTGTCTTAAAGAAACTCTTGCACATGTGAACCAGGAAAGAATGTTCCTAGCAAAAAATGAAACAAGATCGGATCGGGAGGGAGACAAACCATCAGAGACTCTTAATCTCACGAAACAAACTAAGGGTTGCTGGGGGGTGGGGGAGGGAGGGATGGGGTGGCTGGGTGATGGACATTAGGGAGGGTATGTGCTATGGTGAGTGCTGTGAAGTGTGTAAGCCTGATGGTTCACAGACCTGTACCCCTGGGGCAAATAATACATTATATGTTAATTAAAAAAAAAAATGTTCCTAGCCTCTGTTTGTAGAAGCCAAAGCCCAGGCACAAACCACATTTTTATCAATGAGGAAATGGATGAAATGTTGGCATATTCCTACAATGTCTACCACACAGTGAGGAATGAATGTACCAGAGCTCTGTGAATCCATCTGGATTTTGGTATCTTAATCTGTACCCCACCAAAAAGGAGAGTATGAATTGAGTCCTTCTGTGCAAGAGTTTACTTAGGAGGTGATCCCAGGAATCAGGGTGTGCCTGGGTGGCTCAGTCGTTAAGTGGCCCAGGTCATGATCCCAGAGTCCTGGGATTGAGCCCTGCATTGGGCTCCCTGTTCAGCGGGGAGCCTGCTTCTCCCTCTCCCACTCCCCCTGCTTGTGTTCCCTCTCTTGCTGTCTCTCTCTGTGTTGCATAAATAAATCTTTAAAAAAAAAAAAAAAAGGAGGTGATCCCAGGAATCAGAAACGGTAAGTGAGAAGAAAAGGAAGAAAAAGTGCTAAAATTGCATTATTGAACTACTGATGTCTGTGGGTTACTGAGCTCATTCCCTCTGGGAACTCTTTGAGGTGTTGTGTAGAATACAGCTCAGAACTGTCCCTCCGGAGGTGTGAAGCTAGAGCATTTTCTGCTGATGCCGGTCACTGCCCAGTTTATCCCCTGGGGTATTAAGGTTCCTGAACTCCTGGGCTGCATACAGGTTGAACAGCCTTCCCAGCCTTTGTAGAGGCCAGATTCAGATAAGCAAAGAGACATTGTGGCCTTTGAGGTGGCTTGCTGGCAGCTCGCCTACAAGTTTCAGCTACCTCCTCCTGCCAAAATGGGGCAAGGGTGGGGGGGCGGGGCTGAAGGCCTATAGTGTGGGCCAGCACAGGTGTCTGCTAGACTCAGAAACTAAGGTTGAGTGAAAAAAGGAAAATCACAGGGAATTCAGTACAATGTGCTCCATCTGTGTAAAGGTCAAACATACATAATGCATTGTTAAGGATACAATTATGGATATTATGAATGTAGAGGTATGGATATTATGAAAGCAAGCCAGGCAGGAAAGGGTTTATCACATGTTGGGAGACAGTAAGCAAGTCTGTTTGTCAGAAAACACACGTCGGGGTGCAGCTGGAGATAAAGGTAGTGGGTTAAAGAAGGCAGCTAATTGGTGGGTGTCTTTGAAACCAATCTTCAATTTTACTCTAATATGGGAAGTAAAGGGGAGCAAGCTTGTCCGAAAGAGTATGATAGGATCAAAACATATTGCAGGGAATAATTACGCAGTTAGCTTGGGAGGGAAAGGGGGCTGAGGGGCAAAGTTCCCTTACACTGGGTGGCACTGGGAATGTTCCCTCGCTTTTAGCCTCCTCTTTGCTCTGTTCCTTTATCAGGAGCAGACAGGCAGGGTGTGGCTTGTTGGTGTATAGGAGACAGCTAGGGGAGCCCCTGGCTTTGGGCTTTGAATAAAAAGGTGAAATCTTCCCAGGCTCACCTCCATGGCGTTCCTGATGTCCCTGTCCGGTGCTTCATCTTCCTGAATGGCCGGAGGGAGCGTTCCCAGCTTGGAGACTCCAGCTCTGCTGGTGAGGGACAGAGGGCCCTCGATTCCAAAGGTGGTGAGTCCATCTCCCTTTCTCTTCTCTTCATTCTTTTGTCTTTGGCTGTCTGAGGATCCTCCAGTCCGTTGGAGAAACTATCTGCCTTGTCCTCACTCACATTTTAAAGGATGAAATGGGGGAAGGGGAAATGGGCACAAAAGGTTGAGTGACCAAGGGGGCTGGACAAGGGGGTTTTGACGAAAGACTCTCATTGAAGTAGTATTGTTATCAGTCTTAATTATGAAAGCTATCATTTATTTAACCCTTATTATTAGCTGGGTCCTGTACTGTGTGCATTTACACTGATCATCTGCAGATTTTGAGCGTCTAGTCTTAGTCTGCTTGAAGTTGTCAAGGGAACTTCCATTGTGTGTTTTTTTCTGACTTAAAAGTTTTGAAATTAAACTTTTTCAATTAGCAATAATCGAGCCTCGGATAAACCTCATTGGCTACGATACTGCCACTGGGCAAAGCTTGAAATTAAACTTTTAAAACCCAAATGTAAATGAGTGCCTGGAGACAAAATGTTTCCAACATGTGTAGCAGAAAAAAATTGTTACCATATAAAGAATTTTGTAAGCCATTAAAGAGGCAAATGCCCACATTAAAAAATGGACAAAGTGTTTAGACAGGTAATTGACAAAGTCCAAATAACAATTAAGTAATCAAGAAATATAAATCAAAATAAAACACCATTAATTATTTTAAAAGAGATACATTTTGTTACTCATTAAAATGACAGTGATTTTTTTAAAAACATAAAACCCTGTGATGGCAAGATTGTGGGAAACAAGCAATTTCCTAACTTTGATCTGACAATTTGACAATTTGAAATTTGACAATTTCTAGAAGGCAATTTGGTAGTGCACATTAAGAGTCTGTTTTGAAGATGGGAAACTCAAAGCCCAAGAGTTTAAGTGACTTGCTTAAAGTTACAGAGTCAACAGTTAGGAACTAAACCAAGATTAGGGCTAAGACTTCTAACTCTAGTCCTCAATGCATTATCAATTGTAGCAATGCTTGTAATAACAACGTGTTGGAAAACCTAAATATTCTACAAATGTAGAATCATTTTAAAAATTCTCTGATATCCATGATGGAATACTTAAATCATTAAAAGAATATTTGATGGTATGGGAAAATGTACATAATGTAGTACTTGGGAAAACTGGCAAATATCAACAGTGTGGTCCAATTAAAAAAAAATAATACATAGGCATGGAAAAAATATTTGAAGAAACATATCTCTGAGTGGAGGGATTACAAATGATTTTTAAAATTTTAACCATTTTGGGGGATAATTTCCAGATTTTCTACAATAAGGATAGAAAAAGCAATACATTTTATTTAATAAAAACCTCTTTAAAAAAGATTTATTTATTTATTTGAGTGAGAGAGAGGGAGGGAGAGTGGGAGAGCACAAGCAGGAGGAGTGGCAGAGGGAAAGAGAGAGAGAGGCAGACTCCCCGCTGAGCAGGGATCCCTGTGTGGGGCTCGATCCCAGTACCCTGGGATCATGACCTGAGCAGAAGCCAGACACCTAACAGCCTGAGCCACCCAGCTGCCCCTAAAAACTATTTTTAAATGGCTGAAATACTCTGGGGCTATCCTGGAGGTGAATTGGAGCTGACTGACTGGTGGGTGCCTGTCAGGGCAGGAAAAACCTATCTCAGAGGGCATGTGAGAGGCTCACAAAGTCTGAGGGAATTTGAGGCCACGACTGGGGACATAGTGAGAAAAGAGAGATTTTAGTTCCTTGAAGTTGGATGAGTACAAAGAAAAAAAATTAGAATTCTGATACAGCAATGAAAAAATACATATTTACATATAGCAGCATACTTGGGGGACATGCTGTACTATGGGGGTCTTATACGAGAGGCGGCATCTTGACAGCCAATGATGAGGACCCCCACACACTATCTGTTCACCCTTTTCTGTTTCCAGTCATTTTCTTCTAGCCCGTCTCCCCACTACCATCTTTTAGTTTCCTCCCCTGTTCTTAGGTTTCTTCTCCCCATCGGACTTGGAAATGCGCACTGAATACCATGGTTCTCCTTCACCACTACTCTGCCCTCTGAAGGTTCTCACATTAGACACTGACTAATACTCCTCTAATTCAATAATTTTGTAAACTTGAGCATCACGTTTCCTAATTAAGTTATTTCTAGCAAAGAACTGAAAATTTTTCCTTTTCATGAAGCAGAATTATAGTATATTAGAACTGGAAAAGAATTTAGTGCTCCGTCTAATCAAAACTCCTTAATTACACAAATTTACTTTTTGCTGAATTTAGTTTTGTGATACATATTTTTATTGTTATAGTGTGCTTTATTAATAAGTTAGGAAATAGAGATGAGAAAAAATTGTCTGTATTTCCAACGTCTTAATTATTAACCATCCCTATTTTATGGGACTTACTCTCAACTCCTTTCTTAAACTCTCTTTAGTCTAGTTATAATCATTGTAAACATGTTATTTCATATTTTGATTTTAATACATTATTATTAGTTTTCGCTTGAAACATAGGCTTGATGAACCATAATTTATTTAGTCATCTTCCTTATTGATGTGTTTGTAGATAGTCCAGTTTTTCACTATTATAATAATACTGCTGAGGTCATGTAACATTTTTTCTTTCAGAGTCTTTTCTTAGAGTAGAGTTCCAGAATATTTCCTACTGGATTAAAGGGCAAATACATTTGTTTACTTCTTGGTACTTTCCAATTTACACTGAACTCAACAAATGTAAGTGAATCTCCCATTTTAAAAATGGGAAACCTAAGGCCTAAGACACAGTGATTTGCTCAAAGTTACAAAGTCACATAGTAAGTTAGGGACTAAGGACTAAAACCAAGCCATCTGACTCTAGCCTTCCATGCACCAAGGATACTAGCTTTTCCTTTACCATTTGGTTTTATTTAGCATTGGATTCTTCGGAATTTTCTCACTGACTTACTCTTTGCTTTTTTCAGATGACATTATGAGTGAAATTCACATCTTTTTTTTTTTTTTAAAGATTTTATTTATTTATTTGACAGACAGATCACAAGTAGGCAGAGAGAGAGAGGGGGCGAAGCAGGCTCCCTGCTGAGCAGAGAGCCCGATGCGGGGCTTGATCCCAGGACTCTGAGATCATGACCTGAGCTGAAGGCAGAGGCTTTAACACACTGAGCCACCCAGGCGCCCCATGAAATACATGTCTTTAATTAAAAAGCTAAGATCTGGGGCCTGGGTGGCTCAGTTGGTTAAGCAACTGCCTTCAGTTCAGGTCATGTTCCAGAGTCCTGGGATCAAGTCCTGCATTGGGCTCCCAACTCCATGGGGAGTCTGCTTCTCCTTCTGACCTTCTCTGCTCTCATGCTCACTCCCTCTCTCTCAAATAAATAAAATCTAAAAAATAAAAAAATAAAAAATCTAAGATCTAACATCACACTACTCACACTCTACCCAACAACAGAATACACCTTAAGAAACACACACACATGAAACATTTACCAAAATAGACCATATGCTAGCACATGAAACAAGTCAGTAAGTTTAAAGGGATTCAAATCATACAGTATATGTTTTTTTGCCTACAATGGAATTAAATTAGAAATTAATAAACAGAGGGGTACCTGGGTGGCTCAGTCGGCTTAGCACCCAACTCTTGGTATCGACTCAGGTCATGATCTCATGGGTTGTGGGATCGAGTCCTAGGTCCGGCTTGATCAAGTGGGGAGTCTGCTTGAAGATTCTTTCTCTCTGTCCCTCCCTACCCCCATGCTTGTGCACATGCTCTCTCTCTCTAAAATAAATAGTCCTTAAGAAAATGAAATTAATAACAGAAAGGCATCTTGAAAGTTCCCAAATATTTAGAAACTAGAAAACACACTTCTGAATAACCCAAAGGTCAAAGAAGAAATCAAAAGGGAAATTAGAAAATATTTTGAACATAATGAAAATAAAACCACCACATATTAAAATTTGTAGGATGTCACTAAAGCAATAGCTATGGAGAAATTTATAGTACTACATGAATATATTAGAAAAGATCTTAAATCAATGACCTAAACAACAAGAAAAAGACAAACCCAAAGGAAGCAGAAGAAAGGAAGTAATAACAATCCAAGCAGAAACTGATATAGTAGAAACCAGAGAAACATTAGAGAAAAGCAATGAAACCAAGAGCTGGTGGTTCTTTGTGAAGATCAATAAAAATGATAAAGCTCTAGCCAGACTGATCAAGAAAAAAGAGACACAAATTACCAATGTCAGAAATGAGAGAGGTGACATTACTACATTAATTAATTAATGAAGCAAATTCTTGAAAGACCCGAACTACCAAACTCACTCAAGAAGAAGTGGATAATCTGAATGAGCCTATGTTTATTAAAGAAATTGAATGTGTAGTTACAAACCTTCTCATAAAGAAAACTCTAGGCCCAGATGTCTTCACTGGTGATTTCCGTCAAACATTTGAGGAAGACATACTATCAGTGCTGCATAAACTCTTTTAGAAAATCGAAGAGGAGAGAATACTTCTCATCTCATTCTGTGTCAACAGCCTTACTCTCAATTACCAAAAGCAGAAAAAGATAGTACAAAAGAAATACTGACCCTATCTTTCATGGACATAGAGGCAAAAATTCTTAGCATTTTAAAAAATTTTATCCAAAGATATAGAAAAAAGGCTACTACTTCATGATTGACTGAGGTTTATCCCCAGAAGGCAGGGTTGGTTAATATTTTAAAAATCAACCAATGTAATTTACTATATTAACAAACTAAAAATTAAAAATTATCTGATCATCTCAATAGATACAAAAATATAAATTGACAAAACTTAACATCCATTCCTGATAAAAACTCTCAGTAAACTAGGAATAGAAAGGAATTTGCTTGACTTGATAAATGACATCCACGAAAAGCTTATATTACACTCAATGGTGAGGAAAGAATGTTTTCTGCTAGGATCAGGAACAAGGCAAGGAACCAATGCAATAAGGCAAGATAAGGAAATAAAAGACCTCCAGATT